GGGGCGGGAGGGCAGGGGAGGGTTAGGGGCGGTGGGGTAGGGTTTAGGCAGACTCTGGCTACCCCGCGTACTTGGGGGCGAGGCTGGCGAGCTTCTACGAGAGGGCCAGTGAGGGTTTAGGGTTTAGGGTTTAGGGTTTAGGGTTTGGGGTGTGGGGTGGGGCGGGAGGGCAGGGGAGGGTTAGGGGCGGTGGGGTAGGGTTTAGGCAGACTCTGGCTACCCCGCGTACTTGGGGGCGAGGCTGGCGAGCTTCTACGAGAGGGCCAGTGAGGGTTTAGGGTTTAGGGTTTAGGGTTTAGGGTTTAGGGTTTGATAACGAGCAGCATAGAGTTAGTGTTCATTTGCTGTCCCATCTCCCGCTGCTTTAGCACGACCGGCTCTGCTGCTGCTTCCTCGCTGCTCCCGCACTGTCTCATCCCCGCCTGGCCTGCTGCTGCCCGCGCTGCTGCTGCCGCCGCTGCTGCTGCTGCTGCTGCTGCTGCTGCGCAGGCCGCGTCAAGTGTTTGGGGTCTCCGGAGCGCGAGGGTTCGGTGACAATTGTGGGGGCAGTGTCTCCTCCTGGGGGGGACTTTTCAGACCCCGTGACAACTTCGACGATGTCGATTGTCCAGGTCTTTTGGGGCCTCGACAAGAAGCTGGCGCAGCGCAAACACTTCCCCTCAGGTTAGGGTTTAGGGTTTAGGGTTTAGGGTTTGGGGTTTGGGGTTGGGGGGAGGGGTCCGGGTCGGGTTTGCGCGCGGGGTCGGGGTTTGCGCGGGGTGGTCGGGTTTAGGGTTTAGGGTTTCGGGGTGGCGCTTAGGGGTTAGGGTTTAGCGTTTAGGGGTTAGGGGTTAGGGTTTAGGGTTTAGGGTTTAGGGTTTGGGGGTGGAGTTTGGGGTTCGGGGTTTAGAAGCGCGGGTGCACATTCGGTTGGTTGTGCAAGCCTCTTTTGTTCTGTAAACCCTAAACCCTAATTCAGTGTTTTCATTTTTTCGCGTTTTCTCCCCCTAAATGCATTTACATTCTCGGCCATTTCGTTTCTAGTCTCTGATTTCATTTTCTGAAATCAAAAAAAAATAAATAATTGAAAACAAATACTTAAACTCCTTCCCCAATTCTCAGAATTGTTTTCGAGGGTTTTGATTTCTTTTTGATTTCCTCTCAATTTCTTGTTATTTCTCTTTTGTTTCTTTTTGCTGCAGTTAACTGGACTTCTTCTTTTTCTAAATACTTGCGCTTTTTGGAACCCTTCTTTGATTCTTATGATGAAGAGTTTGTGGGACTTCGCCAGAAGATAAGTGACATTTTGCAGCAGGTGGGCTGAGGTGTACGTACACCTCAAGTTGCTGCTGCTGCTGCTGCTGCGTGCTCCTGCTGCTGCGGCACACAGCTTTCTTTCCCGCCGCTGCTGCAGATTAGTTTCATTTAAATGCATTTTAGTTTCTTTTTCTCTTCAAAACGAGGTCATTAGCCAGGCATTGCTGTCGCATTGCTGCTACTGCTGCTGCTGCTGCTGCTGCAGTGGTGCTGCAGCGTCTTCGTGAGGGTATTTACCAGTGCTTGTTCATTCTGAAGGCTCCACCTATGACTTATTATTCATTTATTTACTTATTTAGTTTTATTTATTATTTTTATTTATTTTTGTTTTATTTCTTCAGGAAAACGAACTGACGGACATTGTACAGCTCGTCGGCAAGGACTCGCTTTCTGAGGTGTATAGACACCTCCTGCACAGTTTTTGCAATTTCCAAAATAAAGAAATTTAAAACAGAATGGAAGGACTCTAATCTTTTATTTATATTTATATTATATTTATGTTTATATTTATATTTTATATTTATATTTATATATTTATTTACATTTAATTTATATTCATCTTTATTTTGAATTCGAGGCAAACTTGAATAATGTGTTTATATGCTTTTGCGCTAAACAGTTGCATGCATGCAGGCACTTCTACAAACTGTTAAATATATATAAATATGTATTTTTTATTTCATAATTATTAAAATCTTTTTGAAATTATTTCTTTGAAATTATTTTTCTAAAATAGAAAATACATTTTTATAATTCATTTGACAATTTTTTGCATGCATATAAATGCTGTTTAACCGCAGACATCTTCAAAACGTATTTTTGTTGAAAAGTAGTTTTAATTCATTTAATTTAATTTCAAATTCTTCCGAAGTCTCCCGTGCAGCAGCCTCTGGCTGTGCATGCAGAGTTGCTGCTGCAGTTGCTACTGCTGCTGCTGCTGCTGCTGCTGCAGTTGCTGAGGGGTAATTTGTTTGTTTTTTATCCCTTTTTTCTGCATTTTGCATTTAGTGCTTGTGGCTGGAGTTGCATTTTGTTGAATTTCAGAATCCGCAAAGAAATTGGTTTTTTGATTAAAACATTTGCCAAATATTTCAACTTTTGCATTTAAAAGATTTTTGTTTTTCGCAGGACCAAAAGCTCATTCTCGAAGTCGCCAAAATCATCAGAGAAGACTTTTTGCAGCAAAACGCTTTTTCCGATTACGATTATATGTGTCCCCTCCACAAGGTCCTTTTTGTTTTCGATTTTTAAGTCAATTAATTCATTTTCTGGCTTTTTTGTTTCTTTTTTCGTTTCTTTTTATCTCGATTTTCTCTGTTTTTTGGCTCTTTTTGTCTCCTTTTTTGTCTCTTTTGTTTCGTTTTTTGTCCCCTTTTTGTCTCCTTTTTTGTCCCTTCTTTGTCTCTTTCCTTGTCTTCCTTTTGTCCTTTTTGCTGCTTTGTTGTCTCTTTACTGTTTCTGCATTATATCTTTGTCATTTTTCTTTTTCATCCCCTAATTGTTTCCAAACGTTCCTTTCTTGTTTCCGAACTTTTTCCTTTTTGTTTTCTTTTTGTCTCCCGAGAAAGCTGTTTTCAATCATTTCAAAAGTCCATTTAGTGCATGCACTATCGCATTCACTGACGCATGCATCGGTGCATGTATTGGTGGTCCATGCATTAGTGCTGCACGTTGCTCCACCTCGATTCCTTAATTTGATTTATTAATTGTTTTTGTTTTATCATTGATTTAAATTTAATAATTATCTATTCTTTTGAATTATATTTTTATTCCTTTTTAATTTTTTCAGACGGTGGGGATGATGAAGACAATTTGCCTCTTCTACGACCAGTGCCTGAGGGTGATGCAGGGTAAGGAACAAACAGCAAAACAAAAAAACGAACAATAAAACAAATAAACAATAAAATTAACAAATAAATGAATAAATAATAATAAAATGAACAGGTAGATACCAAAAATAATCAATTAAAAGGCCTTCAAGGGATGCTTCGTCAAGAAACGGCTTTCCCCCTTTCAGCCGCCCGTCTGGGGTGTACGTACACCTGAACGCCCGGGACTTCACACCGGCCCAAAAAACGCCGAAAGTTTTCATTTTTCGGATTTTTTTTGCATTTTCTTGCATTTTTTGGATTGTTTTGGATTATTTTTCATTTTTCTGTTCAGAAACTGCCGGCAGTGAACACCGAATCGGCTGGGGCACCATTTATAACACTTTGAGGCCCACAATCTCGAAAATCACAAGTATGAAGTTTCTCCCGCCGCTGAAGCCCGAGGACGAGTGCAAGGTTTTCTTCAAGAGTCTGGAGAACGAAATTGTCACAGCGCTTCGCAACTTAGCCGAAAAATAAATGAATAAATCCATTTATTGGTCGATTCCCCCATCCAAAATCCGAAAAATGCCGTTTAGAACCCTAAAAGTGCCATTTAAACTCATTAAATGCCACTTAGAATCCAAAAGGACAATTTAAACCGAAAAAATACCATTTAAACGGTAAAGTGGCAACAAATCTGCTTCTGCTGCCACAGCGAAGCGGGGCCGGGTCCGCGGCGCCTTCCTTGTGAATTAATTAAACCAATTAAATTAATTAATTAAATTAATTAATTGATTAATTAATTAATTTATTTATTTATTTGTTGCCAATTAATTAATTAATTGCATTTTCGCATTTACTGGAAAGCAACTGGAGGCGTTTCGGCCTCGCTGTCGCTACACCTCGGGCGGCGCGGGCGTTTGCGGTGTATTGCATGCGTTTTGGTTTTAATTAAAAAAACAAATTAAAAAATTAAATTAATTAATTTAATTAATTAAATTAGTTAAATTAACTAGATTAAATAAGCAACAATATATATAAATAGGGAAAGAGCTTCAGCAAAAGATGGTCTGGAGGCAGCAGACATGAGATATGTGTTTTTGTCTCCTTTGCTTCATTTCTTATTCTGATATATTAACTCTCCGAAATCGCATGCATCTTTTCTATTTCTTGCTGCTAAAATGGCGCAGCAGCAGCAGCAGCAGTAGCAGCAGCGGCCGCAGCAGTAGCGGCAGCGCAGCGCGAGCAGCAGAGGCAGCAGCAGTAGCAGCGCCGCGGAAGCAGCACTAGCGGCACCGCAGCCACAGCAACGGCAGCTGCAGCAGTAGCGGCACTGCAGCAACAGTAGCAGCAGCAGCAGTAGCGGCTCCGCAGCAACAGCAGCAGCAGCAGCAGCAGCAGCAGCATCCGCTGCAGTTCGTCTCCAGCAGAGGGCTATACTTTTCAAGTGGCTACTAGCTGTACATACACCTCACTGGATTTTAAATAAACTCCGTAAGTCCTCTGGGCGTCTCAGCGACTAAACTCCCTAATTTAGGGTTTAGGGTTTAGCGCTGAGGGTCTCCGTGGCGTTTAGTGTGTAGAGCTTAGCATTGAGGGTTTAGGACTTAGGGTTTATGGTGTGGCTGCCTGCAGCTCGGGAGTGCCCTTGACATCTGCAGCTGGCTGTCTGCTGCTTGCTGCTGCTGTCTGCTGCCTGCTGCTGCTGGCTGCTACAAGCTGCTGCTCACTGCTGCTAGCTGCGGTCTGCTGCAGCTTGCTGCAGCTAGCTACTGCTCTCTGCAGCTAGCTGCAGGTAGGCAGATGCAGCCATTTCCAGCGATCTGCTGTGCTGCTGTGGGCTTGGCTCTCGTGCTGCAGTGTGCTGCTGCGCTGCTGCTGCTGCTGCTACCTGCGGGTTTGTGAAGGATTTGTGGGAAACGAATAAAGAAAATGGTTAAATTTAATACTTAATTTAATTTTAAATTCATTTATTTCCTTTATTTCTTTCGATCCGCCTTCTGAGCCTTCGGTCGGGCAGCCGCCTCTGCACGATTTCCCAGCAGCGGGGGCTGCGCGGCGAGACGCCGGGCGTTTTGAATGGGTTTTGTTTCCAATTAATTTAGTTTTTAAATTTAAAACTTAAAAAATAAAAATAAAATCAATTTATTGATTCAGAGGAGCCGCGGGGACGGGAAAGCCAGTGGCACGGGTTTGTGGGGCCGCTCCACCTGCGGGCGCTCCGGGGGCGTGCGGGAAAGAACGCTAAACAAGGCCTCTAAAGGACTAAATAAGTGCAATTAATGAAATTAAAAATAACGTATTTCATTTTAAATACAGAAAAACAAAGAAGACCGCCAAATTCAACCCGCATTTGATGCACTTTGCTGCGGGCAGGAGAGGCTGCTGCAGTGTTGGGGCCTGACGGGCAGGGCGTCCTGCCTTGCTCGGGGAGGTCTCGGCTGTGGATTCTGGCCGTTTTTTTCGAGAAAAGTGGGTGAAAAGGATAAATAAATGAAAATAAAGTTTATTTAGAGGGGAAAAAGTGGAAAACGGGGGATTTCTTGGGCAAAAAGTTGTGCGAAATTGGCTCCGCGGGAACCGTGCAGCGCGGCTGAAGAAGCCCAGCGCCCGTGCGCATGGGCTGCCCGGGGCTAGTTGCCTCGACGGTCTGTTTGTGGTGCTGGTTGGAGACGGCGTTTCTTTCATTTCAATGCTTGAGTTGTTTTTTAAAGAAAAGAGTTTCTTGCGAAGCCCCCAAACGCGTGAGTTGTGGCCGATTTAGGGCTAATTTCTCGAAGATATGGCGAGTGCTGCGCCCACGGTGGCTCCCCCCACCGAGCAGGGGGCCGACGCGTTCGCTGCGCGAGATCCTTCTCCGCAGCTGACCCAGCATATAGTTCACATGCTTTTAAATGATCAAATGGGAAATGTAAAGGAAAGAGAAGCAATTGTGCCGCAGCAGTTGCTGGATCGGCCGCTGGCGGACGCGCGCGTGTGGGCTGGAGCTGCCTGTACACCCCAGGATGCAGGCGCGCCGCCGCAGTCGTCGCTCGCCAGTTCCATTCCTTCTGGCCTTTTTGCAGAAGGAATTTATGAATCGCTAAGTTCAAGTGTTTGCGAGGGCAGTTCTCTGGAAAAAGAGGCGCTTTCCCACGTGCGGCGCCTGCAGTCTGTTCCAGTTTCGTACCTCGAGGTGGACAAGTTTCTGTGCTCGATCGAAGCCTTCGCCGCCCGTTTTCGGCGCGAACAGCAGCTTCTCGAGATTGCCGAGGGCCAAATGGACGCAACTGTCCGTTACTTCTACAGAAAGCGCATGGAAATGCTGTTTCCAGGGCGGAAGCGGGACTACCAGACGCTGGTGGAGGTGATGCTGCGGCTGCTCTGCCTGGGAAACCCCGAGTCTTTCCTGCGCCGCGAACTCCGAGGGGCCCCCCCCCACAAAGCCCTCAAACTCTACGTCGAGCTGGGGCTTCTCTACGACTCCTACACTAGACTTTGCGAAAGAACCAACTCCGAGATCAAACGCACTGAAGACTCCCTCGCCCAGGACTTCCTCAGCCGCCTCCCCAACAGGCTCGCCGAGCAAACCCGCAGAGTCGCCCGCAATGTTCCTTCCCCCAACTTGTTCGCCTACGCCGTTATGGCCCGCACAGTCGACAGCCACTTGAACGGGAACTGGTAGCAGCAGCAGCAGCTGCAGCGGCGGCGGCAGCAGCAGCGGCGGCGGCGGTAGTAGTAGCAGCAGCAGCAGCGCCAGCAGCGGTAGTAGTAGTAGTAGTAGTAGTAGCAGCAGCAGCAGCAGCAGCAGCAGCGGCGACTCTTAAGGATTTGTTTTACACGGTTTGTTCTCTGTTTGTTTCTTGTCTTTTCCGCCCCTTTGTCCCGGGATCGCCGGAGTCGGCTTGTTAAAGCTTAATTCAAGTTAAATAATTCAAGTTTAATTTAAGTTTAATTCAAATTAATTCAAATAAATTCAAATAAATTCAAGTTAATTCAAGTTGAATTCAAGTGCAGGTACAAGTTTGCTCGCACGACTTGAACTGTGAGAAAGTACTTAGTGAAATTTTTGAATGGATCTGGAGGCCCTGGAGGTCTCAGCAGCTGCGGCTGTGGCGCCGCAAAAGGCAAACCTGCTGCGTAGGTTTCTTTGAATTGAATTGAATTGAATTAAATGAATTGAATTAAATAAATTGGATTAAAAGAGTTGAAGAAACTGGAATTCAGGTCCGTGCATGCATGCGGAATCGTGAGCTAAAGGTTTCGACATCTGCACAACGCGCAGTGGACTAACTTGAACTTGAATGTTCACTTGTGCGAATTCGAAAACGGAGCTTCTTCTTTTTGTGCCATTTCTTTCTAATTAATATTGTTAAAGTATATTGTTAAAGTATTTAAAGTCCTTTGTTTCTCTTCAAGTTCAAACGACTCCGCTTTGTAGGGAATCGGTTCTTGAAGTGAAGTTGTTTGCAAGTGGCGCCCGCAGCACAGAGCGCTGCAGCCAGCTTTCCTGAGCTATTTTTCCCTTTTCAACTTCAGCAGCTCAATATCTGCAATATATATTTCCACTTTTGAATATTAAATAGAATTCTTAATGGCAAAAGAGCCCCAGGTTCATTCCTTTTCCTCAAATCCATCGCGGATCCTTAAGTCCGTTTCCGCACTGTTCATGTTCGCCCTGTTTGCAACTTCAAAAGGAATGCCTTTTGCGCTTTTGCCTCCTTTGGCTGCCCAAAACGAAGCAAAACGAAGATAATTTTGTCTTAGTATTTCTATTTTTAAAATATATTTTACAAAAGAATTTTGTCTTCATCTTCTTATTTTCAAATTCTACTTTCTACCCTTTAGTGCTCGCAGATTCGCTTCCAGTTCAGCTTTTTAGCCAGATTGCACTTCTGTAGTTTTCTAGAGAAAGGCAAATTTATTTAAAAGCTTTTCCTCTTTTCTGCAATTAGATTTTCTGTTTCTGCTCCTTTTCTGCATGCAGGAGAAGCAAATGCATGCAAGTTTAGTTTTCAGTTTGTCGAATTTTGCTTCTAAATTCAAATTAGTGGCATTATGCTCTTGTTATTTGCACACTTAGTTACAATTTACTTTTAAATTCAAATTAGTGGCATTTTGATATTATTATTCGCATATTCGCGTTTATTTGTTTTCTTGATTGGGATAAATAGCATTATGCTCTCATAATATGCACATTTGTTCACATTTTGTTTCTAGATTTAAATAAATGGCATTATATTCTTCTAAATTGCATTTTTGCTTCCATTTTTGTTTCTAAAAACAAATAAATGGCATTATCTTTTCATAATTTGCATATTTGCGAAATGTTGCATTTGCAGCAAACATGAAATTTATTCAAGAATTGCTGCTGGTGTCTCGTGCAAATTTATCTTCTTTTTCTATTTAATCTTTTATTTTTGCTTTATTACGAAGTAATTAAATAAAATTGAAAAGTATCAAATCCAAAATAAAAAAATCTATCAAATCAAATATGGCAGAGGGAACTTTAGCTGCAGCCAGTATTGCAAGTTTGGCCACGGCACTATTCATATTTTCTGTTTTTAAATTTTGCAACAAAAGTAATTACAAGCTTTTCAATAATTTGATTTTATGGAATAGTAGCTAGTTGCAATAAACCTTACTAGCTCGAAGAAGCCTGCTGCTGCTGCTGCTACTGCTGCTGATGTTACTGCTGCTGCTGCTGCCGCTGCTGCTGCTGCTGCTGCTGAGCATTCTTTTATCTAGATTCAGATCTGCTGTCTTGAAGCAGAATCTATCAACAGTCCGCGCCAGTGTTAATTTTTTCAACGCATGCTGCAAATATTTTCTTTTAATTTGAGAGTAATTGTCACTAATATTGAAACAGATGCAATTTAATGGCTTGCTAGCTCAGAAAGAATTGCGCAGCATGCGTGGCTGAGGCGTTTCAACAAAAATGGATGAATAAGAATTTAAAAAATCTTTTTTCCGCACCAAAAGTTTGAAAGGAGAACAAAGTGGCCTTGCAGCTGCAGCAACGTGTTTGAATCGAATCTTGCTACAATAGAGCTTCGAATCTGAAAAGGAAATTCACTTTGAAAGTATACTTTTAGCTAAAATGTACTTACTTAGACTTTCTGTTGAGGTGGCCAACGCAATAATTCAAAAAGACACAGTTTTAGTTCTTTTCATTTCGTGTGTTGAGGTGTATAGGCATCTTTGCTGCTTCTAAGATTCGAACTGAAAGGCTCTTCTTCTGCCGTTTGACTTTTTCCCTTTCTGCAAATAAAAGTGTTGATGGGTTTTATTTGCATTTAAGCCCTACAGATGCCGCGTCGCTGCTAGTTGCATGCGCATTTAATGCAGCTTTCCCTCTTTTTGCATTTGCTGCTCAGAAGAATGCCATTTTGCAATCGGAGTTTCGCCGCTCTGGCGGCTTTGTTTCTTTCTGGCTGCACTTTTGTTTTCGGAAGTTAGTTTATTTTTCTTTTCTTTTTGTGAATGAAGTGGAGTGTCTGCTGCAGGCGATTCGTTGGACTCCATTATTGCGCAGCAGAACGCACAGTTGAACGAGCTGCAGCAGCAAATAGCGCAGTGAGCAGCGGCAAATCTGGAAAGAGTTTCAACTTTTGGGCTTTTTTTCCCTTTTAGAACTTCTTTTTATATTTTAAAATCTGCAGACTGAAGCAACACTTGCATTCCCGCGGAGAAGGAGCGCAAGCGGCAATCGATACTGCGCAGCTTTCCATGCCGGCGGCCACTGCAAACGGAATTAAACTGGACATTCGTGAATTAGACCACTGGTCACTTTCTGCTGCTCAAGTGCAGCATTAATGAATTATATTCGCCCCAGAATACCCAGGGATCGGGGGAGGGGAGCCAGAAGCAGCAGCAGCAGCAGCAGCAGCAGGATTTGTTGCTGGGGCTCCGGCGAAGAAGACTCCTTTGATAATAATTTCGCCGAAGGTGAGGAAGCTGCTGCTGCTGCACTTTGAAGCTTTCTTTCTTTTGTCTTTTTCTCCGAGATACTCTTTGAATTGAAACTCAATTTAATTGAAATTCAATTGAATTAAAATTCAATTTAATTGAATTCAATCTGAATTGAATTCAACGCAAACAGCCCATGATGAGCTTCAACAAACTCTACGAGAAAATGCTGGTGGAGTCCCAGCAGATTGGCAGCGACGGTGAGACTTGAATTTCAAATTGAATTCAAATGAGCAATTTGTTCAAATTTGAATTAATTTTAATTTAATTTGAAACTAATTTAAATTTATTTGAGTTATTATTCATTTAATTTCATATTTAATTCAATCTTGTGCTCAATGCGCAATTCAATATTGAATGGTCTGGGCTGAATTTCAAGTTGAATTCAAATGAACAACTTGTTCAAATTTAAATTAATTTTTGATTTAAAAAGTAATATAATTTAATTGTTCATTTTAATTCAATGAATATTCTAATTATTCATTTAATAATTCCGCAGCTCGATATTTGTTGAATGGTCTTCTGCTAATATTCAATTCAGATTTTTATTCAACTTTCAATTCAGAATTAAGACAGAGCTATTGAACTCGCAAGTGGATTTGATTGAATTAAATTGAAAAATTTAAATTAATTGAATTAATTGAACAAATTGAATAAGTTGCATGCATTGAAAAAATTGAATAAATTGCATGCATTGAATAAATTGAACAAATTACATGCATTGAATAAGTTGAACAAATTACATGCGTTGAATAAATTGGATAAATTGAATAAGTTGAATAACTTGAACAAACTGCATGCACTGGATAAGTCGAATAAACTGCATGCACTAAATAAATTAAAGACATTGAATAAATTGAATAAGTTGAGAGAATTGCGTGAATTGAAAAAGTTGAATAAATTGAATAAGCCAAATGAATTAAACAAAATGAATAAATTGAACAAGTTGAATAAATTAACTGAGTTGAATAAGTTGAACGAATTGAACAAGTTGAATAAGTTGAATTTGAATAAGTTGAATAAGTTGAATAAAATGAATTCTGCATTGAATTTCATTATTTGAAGTTTCTTTGAATTCGAATCAAAAATTTCTCATCTTTTCTCAAGTGTTTTTATTTTTGGAATTTTCTAATTTTGCATTTCTTTTTATTTTTGCTTTTTGAATCATCAGCAAGGAAACTTCTGAACGGCCAAGACGCGGCAATGGACAATCCCGTGAGCAAAGAGCTTTTAAATGAATTAAAAACATTTTAATTGATTCAAATTTAATTTGTTTTATTTCATTTATTCGATCCTATTATTTAATTCTATTTTGAGACAATTTTTCATTTTCTTTTTTTGCAATTTTCCGATTTTCAGGTGGAGAGGATTAAAGTGCTAACCAAGGCAAGTCGCCGCGAAAGAACTCGACGAATTAAATGCAATTTATGAATTAATTTCAAAATTTAAATTAATTAAATGAACTAATTTAATTCAATTTAATTTTCTTTAATTTCATTTTGCTTTTTGAAATGCCAGCAAGAGGAGGAAGCGGCGGCAAAAGAGTCTTTCTACAGAGCAGACGAAGAGGAATTGCAATATGTGAGAAATCTTGAACATTTGAGAAACAAAACTATTAATAAATTAATTATTTCGAAAATAATAATCAATTAATTCTTTTCAACATTTAAAAACCAAAAAAATTAATTAATTCTTTCCAGGTCATGAAAGAAAGAAAGAAAGGCTTTCTCGGCAGCGTGCAGAACTTCTTTCGGGGTCTGTTTCCATTTTTCATTTTCCAACAATTATTTATTTTGCATTTAATTCCAATTATTATTTCCCAGATCTCAAACATTAATGCAATTAGAACTGCGTCTTTTTGTGCAAAACAAAAAGAGGAAAATGAGGCGCTTTCTGTTGACCATTTTCTGCACTCATTCCAGGTGTACGTACACCTGAATTCCCATTCAGCAGCAGCAGCAGCAACAAGAGTGGCGGCAAAAGCAACAGCTGAAGGAATCATAGCATCTGTGATCGCCGAGCCAACGGCAGCAGCAACAGCGGCAGCAAAGCCAGCAGCAGCAGCAGCAACAGCAGCAATGGCAGTCTCAGCAGCAGCAAAAGCAGCAGCAGTTGCTGCTGCTTCTTTTCTTCTGATTTTTGTCGGTGTTACTGTGCCACCAACATATCTATTTGAATACTTTGATAGCAGAAGTGACAGACTAGGAGACTTGCGGCGTTCTGCTGCAGAGCTGTTGAGTAAGCTCCAGTGGTTTAGGGTTTAGGGTTTGTTGCACTGGAGGGGCCACCGCCGTGTGGGGCTTCAGCGGCTGGGGAGAAACAAATGAGCGAATTCGGAGCTCCCCACACGCTGCAGCAGCGCAGCAGCAGCACCAGCTGCTGCTGCAGCCGGGGCGGCCTGCAGCAGCAGCAGCGCTCCCAAATAGCTCCAGCGGCTTTTTCCCGTGTCAGCACCCGCTGCTACTTGCTGGGGCAGCCTTGCTGCTAAACGCTGCTCCAGCAGCAGCAGGAGGACCCCTCCGGCTGCAGGGGCCTGTCGTTGGTGCCGCAGCAAGACCCCGGAGTGCAGCAGAACTTTCAGGAAATTTAACTTTAATCTTATAAATTTTAAAGTGAGGAAATAAAATGAGATGCATTTCTTGCTTTCCAGCCTGCGCACCCGCGCGAACTTGCGGTGTACGCACACCAGAGGACCGCTGCGCGCGGGACCTCCGGAGTCTGCGTCTAGTGGAAAGGTGTCTTAAATGCGAAAGGAGCCTTTAAAAGCACTAATACGAATTAAAATGCAAAATTGACCTTTATTTTCGCACGCAGCGCCCCGAACAGAGCGAGTGCACCCCGCGGGTGCTGCTGCGCTGCAGCACACACCGGAGGGTTGTGTCTGGTGCTGGGAGGAAGTGTGGATTTCGTAAGGCCGGCGTTTCTGGGGCCATTTCGCTACTGATTTGAAGCAGCAGCTAAAGAAAGCCTTTGCGGGCCATTTGCACCAGGGAAAGTGGGGAGCTGGCTGGTGCCGGCGGCGGCCCCGCAGCAGCAGCAGGAGGAGCAGGAGGTGCTGCCGCCGCGTGTGAGGGGCGGCGCAGCGTGCGAGGCGCCGGTGCAACAAGCAGCGTGGGTGCGAGTTCGGGAGTGTATCGTGGATTTGGCGCTGAAAGAAGGTGGGGCGCGCGCAGCAGCAAAGGCGCAGCAGGAGGCGGGGAGGAGCAGCAGCAGAGCAGCAGCGGAGCATGCGGCAGCACCCCGGGGCGGGGCGGGCGGGGCGGGGTTAGGGGTTTGGGGCGCGGCGCGGGCGCGCGGGGGGTGTGTTGGGGAGTTCGCGAAGGAAGAAAGGGAAGGCGTTGGCGAAAAGAAGACGTGCTGCAGCAGGAGCAGCAGCAGCAGCAGCAGCGGCGGGGCGCGCGGCGGCGGGGCGGGGCCCGGTGTCGCAGCAGCGGCGGCGGGCGGCCCGCAGCGGGCGGGCGGGCTGGGGGGCGGCCGGGGCGGCGGTCCTGGGCGCAGCAGGAGCTTCCTGGCGGCGGCCGGCGTAGCAGCAGCAGCAGCAGCAGTCGCAGCAGCAGCAGTCGCAGCAGTGGCAGCAGCGGGAGCAGCAGCGGGCGAAGGGCAGAGAGGCGCGCGGCGGCGGCAGCGGCGCGCACGTGCACGTGCGAGCGAAAGGCAGGAGCTGCGAAACCCTAAATCAGGGTTTGGCGCGATGGAGAAGTACCGGCGCGTGCGCCCCGCGCGCGAGCCGCTGGGCAGCGACGAAGTCCGCGTCACCGCCATGGGCCGCGTCTTCAGCTACGTCGCCTACGCCGCCTCGCTCCTCGAAGACCACAAGCTGCGCCAGCTGACCATCAAGGCCTCGGGCAACGCCATAGGCCAGGCCATTGCGCTCGCGGAGCAGCTCAAGCGCCGCTACCGCGGGCTGCACCAGCTCAACACCTGCGGCAACACCACCGTGGCGCTCGTCTACGAGCCGCTCGAGGAGGGGCTCGACACGGTCACCGACAGCAAGACCGTCGCTTTTCTCGAAATCAAGCTTTCCTTCGACCCCCTCGACGCCTCCCGCCCCGGCTACCAGCCGCCCCTCGACGACGCCGCCTTCGAGGAGTTCAAGCACGCCGCCCCCGCGCCCCAGAACGGTACCTCGCGGGGGGTTCGCGGTTTGGGGGGTGCGGAGGGTTTGAGCGGGGTTTGGGGGTTGGTGGGGAGGGTTTGGGGAGGGTTTGGGG